GGGGGGGGGGGGGCAAAAATTAAATAAAATCTTACAGTACATTTTAAATGTTTGAGGTATTCAAATTATCAGTCTTGGACTAGCCTACTGTAAGTTTTGGATGTACCACAGTACTAGTTCAAAATACTAGTAAGTCCAATTTTAATATTGTTTAGTTCGATACTTGGATTACAGTAAATAAAGCGAATGCTCAGTTTTGCTGGAAACGTCTAACATTATTTGTATTTGATAATGAAAATAAAAATAAATCCTTTTTGTTGTTCACACAATCACACATATCAAAAGAGTCGGGGATTTATATTTATTCAACATACCTGTAAATTGTAAACGAGAAACTACTAGGTGCACTTTCATGACAGTACGCTGTTCCTGGTTAGATCTAATAAATCAGGGTGTTAGCCAGAAGTAAAAAAAAAATCCGCGTTTACCTGAAATTGGGAACTTTATTTTAGCGAAAACCTGGCATTTCTTTGTGGGTCTGGGGGCATGCGGTTGCCGCCTCTCGATTTTTAATATTTTTGTGTCTTTGAAATGGCATTTCCCCCGCATTTTGGGAGTAATTTTGAGCAAATGTAGTTATAAACATGTTTTTATAATGGCGTATTAACAACATTGAATTTCTATAACTATGTTTTGGCTGACCCAAATTGGGAAATTGCGACCTCAAGGTGATTGGGAAAACCGCGTTTAACGCAGAATTTTTGACTGTAGCTAACACCCTATAAATGTATATAAATTTCCACTTGATAATTTCCATCTACAACACCATTCAATTGAGTTATCGAATATTATTCAATCAAGTGAGATGCCAAGTTGCCAACAAAATCTTGATATTTACCCATAACCTATACATGGCAGTACCCTAGTACATGTACATGAACTTGTGGTTAGGGCTCGACATGCAACGGCCTCTGTAGAGTGCTGCACCAGAATTGCAGGGACCTAAAGTTGCATTTTTTGCAGCTGTTCCTGGTTAAGTCTAATAAATGTATATAAATTTTCACTCGATAATTTCTTTCCACAATACCCTGGCCTTCAACTTTATGCAATCGAGTGAAATGCCAACAAAATCTTAATAAAAATAATATCTTTTCAAGGCACCGCCCCAAAAGTTTTTGCACCCTCGCAAATTACATATATTTTGATTTGATAGTTTCATATTTGATTATTCTTATTACTAAATTTGTAAAATTACCAATATTATGGTCTCAGATCTCGCCATGCAGGCTTAGAAAACAAATTTGGTTAAGCTTTTTCCTTGGCCTTTCTGGGCGTTGCCACCACGCCCCGGCCAAATCAAGCAGCAGCACCCCCCCCCCAGTATTTATCCCCCCCCCCGAACGAAAATATGAAAATCCGTCTCTGATCTTTTCAGATGAAATCACTAACTGAATCAAAAAGTGAGGTTAATGATAAAACTACTGAAATCCATAATGACTCAAATGGCAACACCACTAAAGAAGTTAAAAACAAGAATTACACTGACTTACCAAAATCTGGAATCCATTATGTGTCTCATAAAATAAAAACACAGCTGATAACATGCTATGATTATGAAAATGACGAAAGCTATGTGAAAACAGATAGGTTGACACCATCAGAAATTGGAATGAAGTTGACTAGAATAGTTGAACATGAGTTTGGTGACAGTCATGATAGACCTAAACCAGACGATTTGAAATATAACACAGTCCATAACAATAGAGAATTGAAACAAGTTATGTCCACGTTTGATGTGAATCTTAATCACGTGCAGGATGATGAGCTGATTCAGGAATATGAAAGTTCATTACAGGAACTAGGAAATGGGTCAACTGACAAAGGTCTTGGAAGACAAAGTCGAGGCAAGTCATCTGTAGTTAAAATTGATTTAACTGATGACATTCAAGACAATCCCAAGTTTGGCTTTGATGATTTTGATGTTAATGGCCCAAATTTAAGTAGCCAAACAAATATTGCAACTTTGACAATAGATAACGAATTAGGCATGGTTAAATCAATTGGAGCGAGTGTTAATGTGAAAGGCTCTTACGAAAATAATGGTTTGCTGAATGTAAAATCTGCAAGCATGAAAGATGAAAGAAGCAGTGGGTATAAATCTAACAGCCAGTTCAAGAAAGAGGAAAGAGAGGGGGTGAAACAATATAAATTTGCGCAGACAAAACCAATCAGTGCCGATCGAAAACCTTGCACTAACTTTGAGAGCACTGGTTATGATGAAAGCAAGGTAGTGGTACCAAGTACTCCACCCAGGAAGGAAAAGCAAACTGTGAAAAGCAGATCAATGGGCTATAAGGATGTGCAAGCAAGTAAGTCTACCGGAAACTCTGTTAATGTAAGACAGGACATATCAAAAGTACCTAGTTTTTACAGAACAAGTCATACGGAAACGCAAACGAGCAAGCCTCCACATGGAAATAAGGACATTTCAAAATTCAACAGCTTGTCTAAAACTAAGAGTATCAATCAACATGAAGATACAAGGAAGTCTTTCGGGAAAACTGTATATAAAAGCAACAACAATAAAAAAGTAAACAGTTTCTATGGCAGAAATGATAGAGAAGCACATGTTGAAATAAATAAGTCAATAGGAAGGCCTGTCTTTGCAAGTAAAGACATTTCAAAATTCGACTGGTTTGGCAACACTACAAGGAAGGATCAACAATTACATGCCAAAAATACTATGAGGAATTCTGCTAACGCAAGCAAAAGCAATCCAATATATAACAATTCACATATTACCAATGATAAACAGGCACAAGTGCAAACAGGCAAGCTAAAGGAAACGTCTTGTTTTGAAAGCAAATATATTTCAAAAATAGACATTTTGGATAAAGCTACTCGTAGGGATCAACATGGACAGGGAATGGAGAGGTCTTCTCAAGCAAACAAGGGTAATCCATATCGAAACAATTTCTATACCAAACGTGATAAACAAACAGATTTGCAGTCAAGCAAGGAAACTTCTGCGTATAAATCGAAAGATATTGCAAAAATGAACATTACTGCTAAAACTAGCAAAGGCCAATCTGGCAGAGCACTAAGGGATACGGATGGTGGTTTAGGATCAGATGAGGATTTATTTGGATCAGATGATGATCTTGATGAACTCCTAGTAAAAAGTTTTACAGATGATTTCGATCACATGAATTGTCATCTTGGTACTCAAGGGGATAGCGATGATTTAAAATGGATGGAAAATGATGTAATTAATGATGATGGTGGTGTGAAGGACTTACTTGGTAACCTTGACAACGACATGGATGACGACACTTTGGTGGCATGTTATGACGACGCAATGTCACCGACGATTCAAGTCAGGGAGAACGGGCCTAACTCAAGGCTTTCTGGTTCTTCAAGAAATGAGATGACGTCCAAAGGAGTGAAAAGAAAGTTGAATATTCCTGATGCACAGTCTAAGGTCAGAAGATCAGGGAGTTCAAATATACCTGATAATGTTGGCATTTCACGTGGTTTGGATAAATTCTGTGAAAACGATGTAGATGAAAGGATCAAGGAATGTCCATTCTGTGCAAAAAGCTTTCATTCTAGGTTGGTACTGTACATAAAGCAATTTTCAAACCCCTAATTTATTCATATCCAAAGCAAAATTGACAAACGGTTACTTTTTCTGTTATTAAAATAGGTTTCAGAAATAGCTATTAATATACTGTAATGTTTTTTACACGTACATTTTACACATATTTTGTATTTTTACAGGTTTTCCAAAGGAGATATCGATCAGCACATAGCCTTGTGCTGTAGTAGCGAAGACATTGGTATTGACGATGCCTTTTGGTGAATTTAAAATTTGCTAAACTCTATAATAACCGTGTGTTGTTTTTCTCTTGGCAAGTGAAATCCTTCCCTAAAAACCGAGTGTACGTCTTTTAAATATTTCAAGTGCTTGTTGTTGGTCATTTTTCTAATTCTGTCTGTCATGCTGTCAATAAACTGTGAAGTGACTACATCTGCTATCCATACATCTGTACCCTATACATGTGATTTATCCGTCAACTAATTCACTTTTACTCGTCTTTGTACCTTGCTTGTCCATTAACCGAACCAAGGTCATGTATCCATATTAAAGGCGTTCAAAACATTGTCATCAAAGGGGAGAATGGGGAGCATATTAAAACCAGTGGATTATAGAAGTTCATTACTGTACCATTCTGCATGCATTATGAAAATCCAGAGGAATGATATTTGAAGGTATGCTAATTGATTAATTTAAATAAATTGACAATTTAACACAGTGATAAAGTTGTGATTTTAAAGTTTTTATAATTCACAATAAATTTAATAATATAATCAATAAATCAACTATAATCTAACTTTACGACTAAATACCTATGATTAACAATTTAATAATAATACTAGTACTCGCTGATGAATATATTATACTGTAACTGTAAACCCGAATTGGTTTTTAGGTTGTTAGTAAAAAGCATGCATTGAAATTATTTTATAATCTGTTTCACAGTCTTCAATGGAAAGGTGTTAAGGAAATACTAACAATTTGTCGCTATAATGTAATTCACAACCTGATGTGGATAGGCCGTATGCCTTTTTATGTATAGAGTAATACTAGCAATCCAATAGGCATGCGAGTTATCACAATTTTGCCTGCGCATGCAGCCTCACGGGGGAGGGGGAGGGAGAGCATTGTAAATTAGTTGTAAATATATGATAGCCATGGTAAATGTGTCTATAATCTATGTCTCTATTATATCATCATATTTTGTTTTACAGCTATAGTACAGTAGCTATAATGTTATTTAAATACATATGTTGTTTCTAGTATAGATTTTTGCCTTTGCTCTAAAATTCCTTCATTCACTTATTAAGAATGTTTTTATTTTTGTCCTGTTACTGCTGCAGCTTCGAAGCTATAAAGTGAATAAAATATTTGTGTTTAGTTTAATTTTCTTAAATGTGTCAACTACGATAAATATTTATTATTCATAACGACTTTCTAAAGAAAGTATGTGCTGCATGCATGCATGTATGGTATATTGCTTACCTTGAACCTGACGCCAATGTTCCACGTTCTAGAATATAGCAACAGAAATAGTTTAGATATCAACTCCAAAAGAAGCTACTGTAATTTCTGATAAGGCATGCTTCCAAAAGGGCCACAAGTCATTCTTCAAATTGTAACTGAGTGACATTGTACTGCGGGGGATTCTTTGGATTAGTAAGCGTTAACAAGCTGATCATGCAATTTAATTACAAAATGTTGACAATTATTGCAGCAAGCGAATGAAACTATATACCTACTGTAATGTTGCATGTTTTATATACTATGGTTTTTTGCGTTTAGTTCTAGTTTAGTTGCAATCAATTCAGTGGACGAAATTATTTTGGCATGACTAAAATGGGGTTTTAGTTCAAGTTGACACTAACTATAACTAACTATATAGAGAATTATTATGTATGTAAACATTTACTTTGTCTTGCTCTGTCCGTTGTTTCTTTTGTTCTCAATGTAATACCAAATATATCTTCATGATAGATGCCATTATTCTGTGGGGAAAAATATAACGTGAACATAACTTCGAATACAATTCTAATTAATATAAATATGCTCTAATTGCATAAATCACAATTTGATATACAAACATTGTTGATAATATCTAAATAGTTGTTTTTGTGTTAAGGAGTAGTCGAATTTAATACCTAACTGACAGTGTCAATAAAAATACTTAAATATAAGATGTACATAATTTGTATTAAGAGTTTAGTTCTAAATTTCTACCTTCATATTTTGAACGAAGTCTTTGGTATCATTGTCATGCTGCTTTCCCTCTGCTTCGAGTGCATTCTAGAAAGCAGAAAAAAACTGTTACTAATTGTTACTAACTGTTAATAATTACTGTTAATTTTTGCAATTTGTTCCTTGCTATGCAGGTGTTTTGCAATGTCAGTGTTCGTGTTTTGTCCTAATGCCCTTGTGATTTAAACATTCATATTGTTTACTTATTTTGCCCAAATTGCATACAGTATAACGATAGTAAGATGTAATGATTTACAACTGTATACAAATGTTAGGACTAAGGATCTTTATGAAACCCTTATGGGCTTTTATTATTATATTCCCTTGAAATATTAATATATTTAATTGTATTCCTATATAATTTTAAAAATAATTCGCCGATTTTATCCAACAAATAAATTTTCAAAGGACGTGAAGCTCACCTCGAGTGAGGTGTGCACGTCATCCGCCATGGAAACGTCTCCACAGACAAAGAAATGTCCTCCCTTGTTCACCAACATGTCGTAAATTTCACTCGCATTTTTCTTGATCAAGTCTTGTACGTACGTCTGAAAATAGATGAACATCGACATGTGACGTAGTTTATTTATTAGAGGGTGGGGGGGGGGGATTTATTGGGGTGTTCAAAATTGTTGAATTTCCGAGAGGAAAATCCACCATCCCGATCCAAAATATTTGATCAATTTATAGCGCAATCCTTTGCGGGATCCCCAATAATTTGCTGTATAAAATACTAGAACATAGGTATTGCATTTTGTGGGACATTCAAATTTTGGTACATTTTTGCACAAAATAATTATTACAGTTTGTCAGTGAGGATTTAATTGTTGTCAAACATAAAAAATCCCTGAGTATATTTTGCTTCAAAAACTTTAGTAAAATACAATATGCACCCACAATGACTCAATATTTGGTGTAAAATTACTCAATTTTTTATTGGTTTCAATTATACTTATTTTTTTTTAGTAAATATTTACTTTACTCAAGAAATGAGTAGATTTACCCATAATATTTTGTGAGTTATTGTGGGTGCGTTATTATTTTACTCGCATACTGTATTTGAGTCAAGTACTCATTTTGCATTGTATAAAAGTAGTATTTTTCATACCTTTGGTACATTGGGTTCTCTAGAGAATGCCGTATAGACGGTATCTAACCCCCCTTCTCTCATTGCATGACTTGTCTCATGTTTGTAGATGTCGTCGTGTTCTGAACTGCGGCAACCGAAATACAGGGTCAGCGGTCCCCATGTAGAGTTCTTATCTTTGCTCAGTGTTGTCGGTCCTGAAAAAAGAAACAAAATATTTCTCAATATAAATTTTACGTGAAATGGAAAATTGACTAGTGATTAAGTAAAACCAATATCAAATTAAAATTCTTTAAATCTAATTATAAAATAAATAATAATTATAAATATATAGCCCTGCGAAGTTTGCCGTTTTTCAGTCATTTTGTATTTACCATAGACAATCCCAAAACATTTTGGATTGCCTATGGTATTACGCACGGGATATTGATACATTTTTAAAGTTTTTTTTCAGAAAGCGGTATCAATTTCCCGCGCGTAATACAAAATGACTGAAAAACGGCGAACTTCGCAGGGCTATTACTATATTATCCGCATTTTACAACATTTCGCAACGAAACTTCGGAATATTACTAATGTTGTGATGCTCTTTCAAGCTGTGATGAAATTTTTGTCTAGACTTGTTTAGATCAAAATTTTGTTCATTAGGAAATAGGTCAATGTAAGCCGGTTTTCAAACTTATCATGAACTTGCGCTTCCCTACTATAGTCTTCTAACTTAGGCATTTACAATCATTGTAGATTAACTTACTTTGGTTCTTTCCTTTGTCTTTGACTTTGTTTGTCAACTTATTTTTTTTCTCAAACAAACGTTGTTGCCAGAAACTGCGGAATGGCGCTATACCCGTGCCAGGCCCTACCATGATGACGGGGAGGGAAGGATCTTCTGGCATGTGGAATGAATGAGCACTATAAATAAATAAATTTTTTTCTTAATTTAGTAGCGTAATTTAAACCTAAAACAAAGTATTTTCGGGAGGACCATGCACTAAGAAGATTTTAAGTTTCTCATCGCACATACTGTATGCGAAAAATGAAAAAATTGCTTGTTAATGGACCATTTGCAGTATAGACTAAATTTTATCTAGACAAAAATTTCATCACAGCTTGAAAGAGCATCACAAAATTAGTAATATTCCAAATTTCGTTACGAAATGTTGTAAAATGCGGATAATATAGCCTTGTGAAATTTGCAATTTTCAGTCATTTTGTATTACAAACGGGGAAATTGATGCCCCAACACCCGATTGGGCTGTCAATTTCGCGTGCGTAATACAAAATGACTGAAAATTGCAAACTTCACAAAGCTATATTATCCACATTTTACAACATTTCGCAACGAAACTTTGGAATATTACTAATTTTGTGATGCTCTTTGAAGCTGTAATTTTTTGTCTAGACTTGTTTAGAAATGGTCCATTGTAGCATGAAAACATTTGACTTACTGTCTAACAGAGCATGGAATCATATCGCCTGGCTTGAGGCTTTCTATCCAAGTGGAACACACTCCATTGTGGACTGGACCTTGGCCATCTGTTAAGAAAAGATAATCATGGTCATATGGAATTGCATGAGAGTTGGCAAGCCAGAGTTTTTGCATGAGAGTTTTCTCAACTCTCATGCCCCGGTCAAACGAGAACAAGAGTTGCATGAGAGTTGATTGGATATTACCGCGTTAATAGGGAAAACTCTTATCAAAATTTGAACCAGCTCAAAGTTGATGAGAGTGCCAGACTTGGTGTTCAAACGCGAGCGATAGTTGCAATTCTCATCAACTTTCATTCCCATTCGACTGGGGCTTTAGTATTCACTGAATAAGCTACAACACAATTACCTTATATCTTATTGGATTCTTCTGAGCCCAATATGCTACCACAAGCTGTAGTAAAATCAACCACCACAAGCTGCAGTAAAATCAACCACCATTATACTAACAACAATCTCTGTAGAAACTTACTTTCTTTTTTAAATCTTACAACAGCAACCGTGGCATGGATCTCCCCAGGATGTGCTTGAGGTGACGATGAAATAGAGTAGAATCTCTGGTAAGAAATATCAATGTATAAGAAATAAATAATACGGTATTGTTTTATATACAGTAGTAATCAGGGGAGTATAGATAACTAACTGGACGATGACCAGGGCATGCCTAAGCG